TCCAGTTGCTGGTCAGTGAGTGGGCAGTTCTGGTAAAAAGCCCTGCACGATAATCCATCCCTATTCTGCAAAGTTACATATACCGTAAAGTACCGTTGATCCGCCCCCTCTCTAATTCACGCCCCCCTGTCGATTTTCTACCTGTGAAGCGACTTCGGCGTATACAACGAAATACGATGTTGAACCGACGCATGCACTGCTGTACACAAAACGTGTCAATCCAGGATGAAAATGTGCACAATCCAGCACATCGAGTCTGATCCTCCACGTTGTTGTACATCGTACTGCACCTGACAGCCTTGATCTAATTCCCGCTCCCTGCCGACAACCCACCTGGGAAGCGACATAGCGTGGGGGCGGATCAACGGTACTTTATGGTACTTGTGTGTTGCCTTAGTAACAGGTGCTGCACGCATCCAGCACTATGCGCCTTGAACCACGGGACCACCGGGCTATGCGGTCAAAATACAGTGCTGATTTATTCACAGGGCGAGCATCACATTTCAGAAGCCAATAACTAGCTCCGTAATCGGCCCAGGTAGTTAAATTTTATCTGACCGAAACTAGAAGTTGATTGTCTCCCTGGACAGGGGAGGATGCCTCGAACAATAGAGTCTCACCCGAAAATCTACATTCCTCTATTACCTGTATGTATGGAATACAAAGTCCAGCAGTTGACTTCACTTGTGATATATGTGCGTTGGTCCCTGTAAGAGGGCTGGTCCCTATACCGGACCCGTTCCCTATAGCAGGGTAGATTTAACGAAAGTGGAATGGATGCATCAGTACCTCTGACCTGCATTGACCGGGTCTCTGTGTGAGCACGATTACACAGGACCTCTTCTCACAGCATAGACTGTGCGTGTTTTTGTCAGTTACCGCATGGACCCTGACTTTTACACCGGCACTGGCACCGGCAAAGATGCACGGAAATCCATCTCTCACTTGTCTAAATTTGAAGCGCAAAGCTTGCCTGGGGCTGTACGTTCTGAACCGTCCATACCGGCATAAGTAGAACATCTAAACAGGCCCGCTAGATGGACTGGCGCCACTGCTGGGTCCATCAATTGCGCATGTACTTATTTGTGTGTATGACTGTTTGTTGCAGGCACGGTTGCTGAAGGCGCTCCGATCATCCCCATCTCTGCTCAGCTCAAATACAACATTGAGGTGGTTTGCGAGCACCTGTGCAGGAAGATCCCTACGCCAGAGCGTGACTTTCTGTCCCAGCCACATCTGATTGGTAAGCTCCGCAATATGCTAGCTGCATTGAGCGAATTCAGCGTTCGCGTCTTTTTTTTAATGATTTTCACAAGAAGCTGGTACAACCATGGCGATAGCGTTAGAATATTAGATTGCTTGGCAAGTTACATGCACACCCCTCCACTTGAATCTCTGCCTGTTTGACCAGTGACTTTTGTGTAGTACACTTGTAATGTATATTTAACTGCGTATGCGTGTGTGACAAAGTTCCATAACACACACACACACACACACACACACACACACACACACACACACACACACACACACACAAAAACACACACACACACACACACAAGCACACACGCACACACACAACGTACTGACTTTGGCTTGGAACATCTGACCCACACAGCAGCGCGCTGCAGCGCAGCTCAACACGGGCAGTAGGAACAATGTGCAAATCCCAGAGCTCACTGACTTGTCAGTTTGAGCACTCTGGCAAGGTACGTTCGGGCCTGATTGGAAATTTTTATTTCCATTGCTATCAGGTTCGGCCTCATTTCCTCTGTGCTGCGCTGATGAGTTCACAAAGAACAAAACAGCATGCTGTCCGCAGATTGAGTATTGTTGGTAATCTATGTGGGTTATTGTGCATGTGCGCTTGTGTGCATGCGCGTGCGTGTTTTTGTGTGTTTGTTTGTGCGTAGTGATCCGCTCCTTTGATGTGAACAAGCCAGGATGCGAGGTGGAGGAGCTCAAGGGTGGAGTTGCTGGTGGCAGTATCCTGAAAGGAGTTCTGAGGGTGAGCGCAAGCAGTCGTGTCACAGTGACGACGGAATTCTTGTTGCTGAGTTTTACACTAACTGCCGTTGCCTTTTCTGGTGTAGTTTTGCGTCTTGTGTTGAGCACCCATTGTGCTGTCAATCATCCACAAGATGTGATGGTCTGCTCATAGTCATAGCAGCAAATAGTGTCAAACAGATTTATCCACCTGAGCCACTATTCGCTAGTTTTCATACCAATTCTTTCCCTGTAATATCCTTATGAAAATGGAGGGAAAGCATTCGGAATGGAGATCTCCGGCAAGTTGTCTTCTTGCTTGGTTGTTGCTCATGTTGATGAATGTGCTCGGTATTTCAACATTAATGAATAATGTTAGTGTTTTTTGCTTACGACTCTCTCTCTCTCTCTCTCTCTCTCTCTCTCTCTCTCTCTCTCTCTCTCTCTCTCTTTCTCTGAAAGAATATAGTGTCTTGATATTTGCACTTGTAGTAATTTGTAACCACAATACGACTTTTTCTGTGTGTGTGTACGTGTGCACCGGACGTTCATCTACCTTTGTACAGGTGGGTCAAGAGTGTGAGGTTAGACCCGGCATGGTGTGGAAGGATGATTCTGGCAAAGTGCGCTGCCGTGCCATCTTCTCTCGCATCGTCTCTCTGTACACCGAGCAGAACGACTTGCAGTATGCTGTCCCCGGTGGACTCATCGGTACGTGCTCCGCTGGTGGTGACACGTAGTCTGACACTCTGAGTCTGCCTTGGAGAAGGCAGTGGTGCTCTCCTATTGCTCTTAGGCCAAGTCATGTTTTGTTGGCTATTGGCTCTTTGTACTGGACGCTGGCCCTGGTGGGATGTAAAGTTAACAATTGTCTATTTACACTTGTGGTGGTGTACTGTGATGTACTGGCTGTCTGCAGGTGTGGGAATGAAGATTGACCCTACTCTGTGCCGTGCTGATCGTCTTGTCGGCCAGGTCAGTGACTGCTTCCTCGCTGCCATACATTCTATAGAAAGCAGTACTATAATTATTACTTCCTCCTTATACAAAAACATTGTCACTTTTTTCAAAGGTGTTTTTGAGCAAGAACCCGCTCAACGAACCGCGCCAAAGGCTGTCATCGACAACCCACATTCGTGTCGAGGTGAGTTTGGTTGTTCCTGAACAGGTTCTCCACAGACTCCATGCGTGTGAGGACGTTGCCGACAGGAACTCACGAGTCAAGTAAAACAACTTACTTGCTCGAAACTGACACAGTGACGTAGTGGTGCTCGCGGCTGGAACGTGGAGTCACGCGGCACTCGCTGCCCTGAAGCTGGCCAGGCTTTGTACTGTACTTACAGCACAACGGCGCGGCCTCATGCGCAGCATGAGAACATGAAGCTGTTCCGCTCTCACGGCAAGATGAAACATTTCAGTTGTCGTGCTGCCAGGCAGACTCCGGATCGGAATGTTGACGGCCTGGCTTTTTCTTTGTCTCTCTCCAGTCAGACGTCTCCTGGGGAATCGCAGGGATCTCCTCGAAGCCGTTGTAGAATGCTGGGAGGAGTCTCCTGCCGAGAAAATGCGAAGCGTGTGGATGTGCTTGTGCGACCCTCATTTGTCGATTTTGTGTGTGTTTTTTTCAGGCAATTCTGAGAACATGCAGTCGATAGTCAGTAACAGAGGGGTCATAAAGGCACACTTGTCTGGGTTGAAGTCGGAGGTTCGCTCCCGTATGTTGCATTTTGCATGGCAAGACCATTTTGGAAAATGAAAACATGGGTTATGGGTTGGGTTGAAACGATTATACCAATTACTCGGTAATCGATCGATAATTCCTTAACATCAACTCATCATTACGTTATAGATTACTCGTTAGGGATTTTGAATCCAAAAAGTACTGAAACCCCCGTTTTCGTGAAGTTTGAACCAGTTTCCCCTGTGGGTATGCAGTTGCTAGGAGTATGGTTCATGTTCTGAGGTTCAATTGACTTCAAAACTGCCATGTTTCGGAGCTACCCTTTCACTAACGAAAATTGTTGGTATTATGAAGACATAGCTTGTGGAAACAGAGTAATGTTTGCACGAAATTCTGACACTATTTGCTAACAACTATAATCGATTAATCGATTGGCAAGCTAAAGAGTAATCGATAGGTGAACATCTGCGATCGTTTCAGCCCTAGTTATGGGGTAACGGTTTCCCCTGCCTGTCTGCCCCTCTACTATTTTGACCTGGCTAGAACCCTGAGACGTTATTCATAGCGTTATGACCCACCAATTTGCAACACTCCGTTTGCACTCACCTCAATACTCACTCTTGAAAGTTATCACACCAAGCATCAGTTAGTCATGTGTGCTATTGAAGAGTGCATTGAGTCGATTGGTTGCGCTTCTCTTGTTCTTTTGCTCCTTGCAGGTTCTAGGAGGTGTTGGTGCATTGCCAGATATCTTCACCGAATTGGAAATCTCCTATTTTCTCCTGAGACGCTTGCTTGGTGTCCGCACTGAGGGAGACAAGAAGGGAGCAAAGGTTGGTCGGAGATTTTTGAAAGATGTCTCTTTGGTTGTGCGTGTCCATCCATTGACTGCACTATGTCCATCGAGCGGTGCAGATGCATGTATACATGTGCATGGCCAGTTTCTTGAGGGAGTAAGAGTCATCATGTCTTATTTTATTTATTGCCCGTGGACTTATAGCGATCAGTTACGATACACTTGTTACTTGTATGTGGCGTTTTTGTTTGTAGCGTGTACACCGTATTGTCATCTGGCTGTTTTGGGGATTGTGAAATGCTGTCGTATTTCCTGTTCAATGAACAACTGCAGGTGGCTAAGCTGACGAAGAATGAGGTATTGATGGTGAACATTGGATCACTGAGCACTGGTGGTCGTGTCCTTGCCATCCGAGCTGATTTGGCCAAGATTGCTCTGACGCAGCCAGTCTGTACGCAGAAGGGTGAACGAATTGCACTCAGCAGACGTGTCGAGAAGCACTGGAGGTATGCGTCGTGTATAATTGTGTTTATTATATCAGTTAGTGTCACGTAATAGGGACTTCAGACCATTTTTTCGAATCGGTTTTCTGTGGGGTTTGTTTTGCTTTTTGGATAGGTTAGAGCTTCCTGAGGAGTTTGGTCTTTAGTTTTTCTAAATCAGACAAAGGAAACCAAAGTTACAAGCAAAATAGTCATCGCCTGTCACCGGATTATTCCGACAAACGCCCCACACATTTGAGATCAGAGAGAGATGTCAAACTGACAGAACCCACTTTCCTTAGCAACGCATAGCAATCACACACCATATCCAAAAACAATCTTGGTTCTCCACATGGAACAGCTGAATAACATGGTTTAGTTGTAGTAACAGGAGACATTGATAATACAGTCCTGAGATAGCTTCAGAGTGCTGGTGTCAAGAAATAGAATGACCGAGGAAGAGGCACTGACTAAGCTCAACATGTACATATACATGTATATGACATTGTATCGGCTGGGGTAATTGTAGCACGCACATCAGAAGAGATACAGCGACTAGCAACAAGAATATACAGCAAATCTCCTAGTTCGGCACTCCTTGCAGAGCTCAACCAGATCGAGCATAACCGCATTGGAGACAAGAACCGGGGCTTGGACCGAACCAGCCAAGAGCAATTCAATTTTGCACATCAGCATCATTTAGCGCAGGGTACTTCTTGCTTCTTTCCATACTGTGACTATGGCGGCTCTGCACAGCCAAGTACAAAGAGGAATAATGCAAGAAATAGGTCTTCTGGAAGGTGAAAACAATAAAGATTACCTTCTATCTAGACTAATTCGAGGTCGTAGAATACGAATATCGCATTTTCAAGAATGGGATCCGGACGGATCATATAGTTTCTCACCTTTCCCTTCCATCCGCATACGTATCTCCATCAAAAATGAACGTAACAGCTCCATTCTTGCTGGTCCCAAACGAAGGCAAGCTCCAACAAGACGAACCGAAACTTTCTCCAACTGTACAAGACTTCCTTCATTTCGAAAAACGGTTCCACATTTCTTTACTCGACCTGACATATGACCATCACACGATTTGTGCAGGCGTCGATTTGCACGCTTTTGGGCCATGATGTCAAGTGGTATGAAGTCCCTACACGTAAGCCATAATCGTATACATCCCAGATTCTGATTGTGACATAGTGGTGGTGTATACCCGGTTCCAGATCATTCATACTCGTCTCATGTCGGCAACGCTTCGCTCGCGACTCATCCTCGAAGTGTCGCTCTTTGGTGTTGCTGGTGCCGTCGGATGCTACAACTACACATTCCATAGAAATAATGAGCTTTGTGAACTAGGTAACTGTAGTCTTCAGTAACATTGCTTCAGACTCAACAAGTCTTGTTCCGGACAATCGTAGGCACATGCTGCCGTTGAGTAGGTCGATGGTCCGGATGAATTCTGGGATGTCAACATCCCCAGCCTCTTCGAATGCAGCGTGAATGCGGTGTGTTGCATCTTCATTGATGTATTGAGAGAGTCTGAAGAAGGATCCATCTGGTTCCATGATGACATGAAGTAGTGCTGAGTCATCTGATTCAGACAAGTCACCAAAGACGTCGGTGACGCCACCATCCGAGGGCATAAGGATGGGGCAATGGCCATCTTGGAAATGGCCCTGGCTGAAACGCATGAAGTATTCGCCAAGAACGGTTGGGGTGAAATCCTGCCTGGAAGCCATCGTTTTTCCAACTCATGCCTCTTCTCGAATCTGGTATTGCGACTGATTCTACAGACTTTCATGGGAACACTCAAAATAAGATATAGGAGCCGTCCCTCAGATGCGAAAAGGACATTCTTCCTCACCTGAGGCATGCGTAGCAAAATAGTGGTGGATGAGGGAGATGACACTGTTGGGACCATGACTGCTCTTGCCGTCAGAGCCGATCGTATCTGCCTCATCTATCATGTAGTTGACTTGACAAGGCAGACCTTCACAGGTCACACCGAACACTTGAACTTTCCTTGGCACTTTGAAAAACAGTGGACCCTCCTGCCTGGACGACTGTGGCAATGCAATGTTCTGTGCGAAATCAAATGTATAATGCGGATATGAAAGACTATTACTGCAGGCAACTACAGGTGGCACTGGCAACTCTACATCCTCGATTTCCTTCCTCGCTTTCTTTGTAAGCTCAGCGTAGAAGTCTCGTTCGCGCTGCGCTTCAGCAGTGTGGTCAATTAGTTCCTGGGCAACAGTTTGCTTCTCCGTATCACTGACAGCTGACGCCACTCGCCTCCATGTTCCCTCGCATGTGTCACCGGCATCAGTTCGCGGAGAAGCTATTACACTGTGAGACACTGTGGCACTCCAAATGTTCCGAAATGAATCGTACCCGACAGCTTGGATGTCAAATTCCACACATGCTGCGCAGTACTGCTTATGCATGGAGCAGATGCTGTTGGTCGCTGCCAGGTAGATTGGTGGTGTGCCCGCTCTGCTACGTTGTGGAGCTGGGTGCGGTTTTCCATAGCGGTCAGCAAATGCTTTCAGGAAAGTGACAGCATTCTCAACTGCAGGATACGGCAAGGCATTGTGTGGTTTCTTTCGCTTCTTGGCATTCTCCCTCGGTACAAGACAAGACGTGTTCAAGTGTTTCAGTATATTTTCTAGATGTTTAGTGCCAACTGCCAACATCATACACGTAGCGGAAAGCGCCTGCACATACCTCCTCACCAGAGAATGAATAGCTAAATAGCTGCCCCCGTCTCTTTTTGCCCTTGGAGTTTACTTTAGCTGGGTATCTTCCACTTTCAGTAAGTCCCAGTAAGATCGCATCCTTCTGCTCCTTCTCCATCTCCTTAAAATCAACCCGTTCTCTGTAATTTGACCTGGCGAAAATTGTTTGAGGCTGTCATCCCGGCATCCACGCACAGGAATCGCATGCACAGGAGCTGCTGCTGCTGCTGCTGGTGCCGCACCAGCACAGGCTTGCTCCTGGGAAGATGAGCCGCCAAAAAAAGCCCTGTACCTTCAGCAATGTTGATTTTGGCGGTTCTGCATTGTCCTCTTCTTCATCAGAAATTGCATCGCTGTTTTCGGGTGCTGTACTTACGCTTGGGTCAGATACCTCACCTGGCTCGCTCTCTGGGTGAGAGTCATCACGTTGCGTTAAACTTGGAAGGAAACATCTTTTTTTGCACATGCAAAGTAAAATTGAAATGCAACATGCCTTCCATTTCTGTGCATGCTCTTGCTAGCGTTCATGCAGAGCACCTTGTTGTGTTGTTGTTGTCTCTTAGATTGATTGGCTGGGGTCAAATCCAGAGAGGTGTCACCATTCCACCGGAGACTGTTGACGCAGCGCCACCACAAGGCCAGTAAAATGTGGCTGGCTACTCCTCGGGCCATTGGCTACATTTGGGCAGCGGACTTTGCCTTGCTGCCGTAGACGGTGGGGTGAGAGAAACAAGCGCGTACACACGCACATGCACGCACGCACACAGACACACACACGGCTTTTCATGCATAACCCAGTTCTCGCAATTGTTCATACTCTCACTCAAGCAGGCACTTGCGCAGGCATACCCACAGAGCGCACATGCACTCATCAATCTTGATTGCAGCACTCTTTGTGTGGCTCATTTCAATGCTGCAGGCTGTTCCTAACATATATGCGTGAGCTTATTTCCCGAAGCCATGCTTTTTCCATGATAACTATTTGTGTCGACTTGGTTTAGACGAATCAAATCGAAGTCATTTCCATTTCCATGTTGCTCTCTGCTTAATGCTTTCAGACAATTTCTGCATTGTTTCAAGGTCGCTTTTTAGGTAGTTTTGTGGTTGTCCAATGTGCTGTATGTATCACTATGTGTTTCTTTACTCTTTGTATGCCCCAGAGCTACATGTTGGAGTATCACTACTAGTTTTGCTTCCTTTACTCCTTGTATCTGCTCTGCCAACTGTTACACATATTAGTTATATTCCCAGTAGCTACCATGGGCAATCTATGAAGCCCACAGCGGCCAGGGTTCAGTGTACCCCTACTTGTCTGCAGGAGATTGTTATGCTTGGAAAGCTGCCGTGTTTATGAAACTTGCCGTGTTTTCTCTGTGTAGTTTGTGTGTCTTGGGTGGGGTGCAGCCTTATAGCAACTGTTCTGGTACCATTCTACCTGTGAATGAGTGTGTAGTCAATTAATCAATGAGGGGTTGGCTCCACCAGTTCTTGGATGGTATTACCATTTAATACTAGGCATTAGAACATGCAGGATATTATTGCATAATAACTTATTATGGCTTTTTGATGCTGTGGACGCGAGTTGTCACTGCTACGCTAGAGCCAGTTGAGGCAGATTTATGAGCGCTTGACCTTCAGATCCGTGAGATTGTACATCCCCCTACCGTTGGGACGAGTAGTAGTGTACGGAGCTGGAAACATAAAAATAGCTGGAAATAGTCGGTGCGTGAACAAACAAAAAACGAAAACCAACAAAACACAGAAACTTGCTTATGTGTACAGTGGCGGCAAGTTAAATCTGACCTCGTGAAATAGCCTTCAGAGCAGCACCGGCCCCAGCACAGTTTGCACTGGGCAGTGCAGTGAACTCTGAGCTGGTGTATAACATTATTCATTCATCCAGCCGGATTTCACTTGCCACAGCCTTTACAAAGGAAGTACCGTATTTCCGCAAATAAAAGGCCGCCTTCGTATACAACGCCTTCCTCGGATACAAGGCAGGGGGCGATTGAAAAAATAAAAGACCGTCTCCGATTAGAAGACCGGGCCTACTAAATGAGTCTCAAACTTGTGTTAAAAATAGAAGACAGTGCTCAAACTGTGGGTAAAATTAGAAGACTGTGCTCAAACTGTGTAGAAGAAAATGGAAGAATGGGGGGTAAAACTGCGTGGCGAAAAATAGAAGACCGGGGTCAAACTGGGTTGAAAGAATAAAAGACCGTCCTCGATTATAAGGCCGGGTTAGGACGAGGTTGAAAAAATAGTAGACCGGCCTACTATTTGTGGGAATACGGTAGACCCGATTACGTGTGCTACTACTGTTGTGGACATGGAACTCCAGTCAGAGGTCAAGCGCTGACCATGCAGCCGTGAGTTCGCATGCAATCAACATCATCAAGAGTACATAAACCCTGGGAGTTATGTACTCTTGACATCATGCACTATGCATGCAACGTTGTAAGCACTGAGGGCGCCGGCCCCGGTCATTCAACCGGACTTCCATGTCCACGACAGTACATGTGACTCTGCTCCCTGCTGCAGAGAAGTAAACTCAGCTCCTGGTGTGCTACAGTCAATACGGAGTGTGCCAACACTAGTACTAGTACAATCATGGTGTGATATCACCCAACACTGGTTACAAAACAGTACATGTATTAGATAAACCTTGTTGACACCCATAATGGTTCAGATGGTCCGCAGGGACCGGGGCTCTGCCAACCGCGGAAGGTTGTAGTAAGGTCACTGTTTCCGAACACAGTGTCCTCCACCTTGTTTCATGCTGTCAATCTAACAATTTAGTACAATCATGTAGTCATATGGAACAAAGGAAATACAGCCAGTTCACACAGGTTCATCTTGCTGAGCACACTTCTCACAAGTTTATCTTGATAAGCACAGTTCACACAGATAAATCTTGATAAGCACAGTTCACACAGATATATCTTGATAAGCACGTCATGCCCGTGCAAGGACAGCAGTATACACTATGCTTTAGAAACCTCAGGCACACCGCGTACCGGCGACTGAAATACACAAAACGTCCAGACAATCTTCTGACTAGACACGGGGACAGCCTATTTCAAGTATTTGCACATCGGATTGGGGAGTGAGGTGTAAACCTAAGCTGCTCATTGTCGATAGCTTGGTCTGGCAAAGTAGCAGCTACCAAAACGATGACTGCACAGTTCTCTTGCGGTGGAGTGAACTACAGGTATGTGCTGATGTACTACCTTCATGGCATCCAAACTGTCTCGCCAACCACACAGAACAGGCGACTCATTGATCAAGTCCGTGGCTTTGCAGAAGGAGAGTGAACTGATTGGCATGTTTTGTAAGTCTGAAGTTAGTTGGCTCAACTGGCGAAACAATCAAGGGCACGTTGGCCAGTGGTGGAATCAACGCTAAAGCAGAATGATGCTAATCTGGTGGCTTCATTCTTCCGCCAAAGCTTTCTCGGCGGCTGTCCGCAGCACTCCGTCGATATCCAGCAAGTCGCACTGCACAGATACCCAGGCAAACAGACACACAGGCACGAAAACATGCATTCACCGTTTTCACACAGGCACGCATGTTGCGCACACAACAATTGAACATGTACACGTATCATGCAAATGCGCAAACAAGGTCCACCGGGCACTCTGACCTATGCTCAAGGATCATCGTGTGTACCATGTGAATGCATGCAATAGTATAGACGTGGAAACAGGTAGCCAGACTGACAAGCACGCATGATGATGGACAACATTATAGAACGGATGACCGCCGACCAGGTCCTTCTATGGACATAAATCATATAATCAAACGTTTCCACCTTACCTGTAGTGACTACACGGATGCAGCCGACTGGTTCATTGTACAGTCGTGCCTGGTAAGCTGTGGAGTAATCTGACTGCATCCCAGGCTAGGTCCCTGAACCTTGCGACGAATGCAAATTTTCACAGTGATGCTTGAAGTTGTAACCCTACGGCAGGGTTCTAGCCAAAGGGGGGGGGGGGGCAGTGCCCCCCCCCTTCTCTGTTTGCACCTCCTGTGAAAAGTGCCCCCCCCCTACTCATTTTCCAATTTTGGTGTTTTTCATGCCATTCAACGGAAATGCAGTCGATAGTCAGTACTAGAGGGTTCATAAAGGCACATTTGTCTGGGGTGAAGTCAGGTGTTCGCCCCGTACGTTGCATTTCGCATTGCAAGACAGTTATTTTGAAAATGGAAAAAATTGGTTACGGGGTAACTGTTCCCCCCCCCCCCCCCCCTGCTCTTTTGGCCTGGCTAGAACCCTGCTACGGTATTGTAAAACATCATACCAAGCTGTGCACATACCTCTGGTATTGGGTACTTCATCGGATTGGGCGCGGAGTGGCGGCAAATTTCTGTGATTGTGCCTGTCCTGGGCACGCCCTTGACCCAGGTCCCTCGGTACAGCTGTCCCTTATCAATGTAATGATACTCGCCCGGCCCGTGCATTAGACCGTCCTTCCACTCTCCTTTGTGAAAGTTACCATTAGCTGTACAGCACAGTCAGAAAGAGTATGAAGAAAGAAGACTTGTTCACCGTGCATGTGCTGTACTACATCCTCACAACACTCTCCAAACGGTCTCTGGGCCACATCAGTCACTAAAAGGAAAAAAAGAGAGAGATAAGGCCATGGTAAAAAATAAAGTTGATTCTCAGGTCATGAGCCTGTGAAAATCGGTGCGAGCGAGCGATTTTTTATTTTATTTCCCGCAGTTTTTTATTTCCAAAGATAGGGTCACACATATGTACGTCACAGGTTCATATAATTATTTTATTATTCAGGCCAGGGAGTAGAAAAATACCGGTATTTTACTACTCCCTGATTCATGCCTTTCGCATTTACCGTTTTCATGCGCGCATATGCATGCATAGAAATAAAAAAAATCGTCGGTGCGCCGCCAAAAATCGGTGCGCGCGTACTTGAGAATCAAAGATAATTTTTACCATGGCCTAATCAGTCGAATTTTCGGGCAAGGCCCATCTTCAGAAATCATTCCCGAAGATTGGACGTGCCCGAAAATTCGAATGATTCTCTTTCTTTCTTTTCCTTTTAGTGATTGGTGGGCCCAGAGACCGTTTGGAGAGTGTCGTGAAGATGTACGGGTATAGTGGATGGCTACAATGGAGTGTTCGCACTTTGAGAAACTAGAGGCTTGGCTAAATAATAGTCTGAAATCTGACCAGACTCATTGGGATAATCCGGGATCACACGGAAGAAAATTCAGCCCAGAATACATGTCTAAAACCAGACAAGAAGTGTTTGCTAGCATATTATGCTATTTCTTGATGCACAACGCCTTTCCCGCAGTGACCAGCCGTGCAAGTGCGTACACACAGGAACTGCCATCAGCTTACGCAGGGACAAATCAGCAGCACCGCACTCTTTGTCATCCTTCCATCCGCCCTCATAGACGGAGCCGTCGGCACGAACCATCCGCCCATGGCCATGCCGTTTACCGGCGTACCACTCGCCTTCGTAGAAGCTTGGACCTCCATAGAATGCAGTGCCGTAACCCTAAAGAGAGGAACACATAATGTATACAGACTTGGACACGAAGCCATGTGTCCTAACAAGATTACACAAATCTGGGTGTGTAATCCAGCATCAGTTTGGAAAAAGCGAAAATGTCAAAGTAGTGTTCCCATCATTTTTTGATAAAATCATTTTTGGATCCGAAATCTGCGACAACAGTGTTGCACTGGATAAGTACAAATTGTAACATCAAATTAACCATAATTATGCTGATGTTAAAAACGACGTAGCGACTAATTGCGCTGTCCTGAACTGATGTGCAGAGTTACACACTCTGGTTTATGTACCGTCTTTCCTGCAGTCTAAATCTATGGCTGGTCTATGCACAGTGCCGGGGAAGTCATGGGAAATTATTCCACACAGGTGATACATAGCCTATGAAATTAAAAAATCCTTCCTCTCCTGACCCAACTGTAATATGCTTGTATTTTTTTGAAGTCAGTAGCAGCCGACCGGATGAACGTGCCAACCATCAGCATCGCCATCCTGCAATTTGATCAGAATTATCAAAGCCGACCGACAATTAATTCCAGGAATGCCAAGACTAGCAGTGTAAGATGATCGCCATGAGTACGAAGAAGGAAGCAATCTAAGTCTGCTACTCAACTTACGTGTCGTTTATCAAATTTCCATCCACCAGCATACTCTTTCATGTAGCCTCCTTTATCGTCACCTTTGCTCAGCAAGCCGTAGCCATGGCGCTTGTCTTCCACCCAGTCACCGTTGTAGATCATGTTCTTAGACTTCCAGTTCATGATCCCTTTGCCTGGAGACAGCACAGGCCGCACGATCGGCAGGAAAGAAATGCAAACATACACAGTCATCATCAGGGTACACGTACACGTACACACACAGACACTTGTACTTGTGCGCTGCCAAAAACGGGTCACACCGGTGGCATCAGTGTATCTATCCTGGGATCCAAACGCACTTACCCCCGTCCCCGGCGAAAGCACTACAGTGAAACCTGTCTAAGACGACCGCTCACGGGACCTTCAAAGTGTGGTCTCTGTTGCCAGGTGGTCTCCTTATCCAGGGTCATTTGACTGGAAACAACATCCCTTGGTCCTGGTTTCAGTGGTCTTCTAGGACAGGTGGTTACCTTATCCGAGTGGTCGCCTTGACAGGTTTTATTGTACTTAAAACTAGTGTGAGTTGCTAAATCAGGGTAGGGCTGATATATATTCTTCACCAGCCGTGACCACTAATTACACTAATCCAGCCAGCACGGCAGTACCTCAGTTGTCCGACCACCTGGCTTGTCTGGTTGTTGATTACTGAGCTGCACTGATGATAATGTTATGCTCTGCACATGTACACGTGGATGCGGCTAATGCCCCAGAGTAATGGGGTTTCTCGGCACTTGTGCCAGTGGTTGCGAGACTTATCTGCTCACCCCCACTGTTAGGCACTGCATCTGTCGCTAGGGTTTACCGGGTGTTAGCGGCCGCCGTGAGATCTCTTCGGGAACGGACACGATAATTTACTTACACAGTACATGTACTATTCAAACAAGAACCAACGTGACATGCATGTGCAATACATGATGGATTCAGACGGTCTCTGTGTCAGGGGCATTGGCACCGGTGCGGCAGGTGCAGGGGCAGGTGCGGCCAAAGCCGCACCAATACTGAGTTTCATCTTGAGAAGTTTGCACACGTGTGTACACATAGCACACACACACACACATGCGCGCGCACACACACACACACACACACACACACAAACACACCACACACACACACACACACACACACACACACACAGATACGAAATAGGCTGTGGTCCGAGTGTGGACCCTGACCACCTGCCTTGTAGTGCTGGATAGTATCGAGCGTACATAACCTGGGGTTAGACATGTGTCTCACTACAGCCCTGCATTACTAATCCTAAGCAGGCTGTGACAGTATAATTATGCACCCTTCATTGCACATGTAGATCTACGTGCGCATCATTGTGTATCTCTGGCAGACTTCGAGCTTAGCTTACCATGGCGCTTATCGCACTCGTAGTCACCGCGATACTCGTCCCCATTCATGGAATACACACACTTGTGATCCTTGGCGTGCTTGTCCGCCTTTCTATCCTTCTTCTTCCATAGCTGCTCGTTGGGTGGAGGATGTTTTACCATCGGCATGATGATCGGCTGATCCAATAATCTAGCTTGATCTTCTTACAAACCACGCTAGTACCAGTTACTGAGTTAGTTGCACAAGACAGGTCTCAACAAACAACGTTCCACGGTGACCGACTACGAGACAGACTCTATTAGTAATTAGCAAGGGCAGCTGTGCTGCTGTATTCACTTCTCCAGGACTAGGCAGTTGTGTTTCGCGTTCGCAAGACTAGTTACCAGGTTACGTCGCTATAAATAATAATAATAATATTATTATTATACTCTACACCTAACGAAGTCTCTGATCGACCAGACTCTGAAACGCTTACGACGTCGTGTAGACATGGACACTGACAGTGATGGCCTGCACTGGCTGCAGACAGTAGTGCAAACAACAGTTCTTTTCATTTTGGCTTCAAACTGTTTACACTGCTAGCTGGCCTGACGTGACATGGCGCTACTTACCATGCTTACGCATCAAGCATGCATCGACTCGTACTCGTAGCTACGTAGATCATGCTAGATTGCATGCATGCAATCTGCTTTCCAAAACAACAGTCGTTCCTTGGCAACAACGCACGCATAGCAGCCAGTGCGGCAGTGGTTGCTGTGACCTGGTGACATGTAGAGGGGACGGCTCGATACCGGGACGTTTTGACAGCCAAATTTGTATAGACCCAAACCGATCATCAGCGTTGATTTTTCACTCGAAATATGTTTGTGGAAGGAAACTGGCATGTTGAAGTTTGCTCTGGGGCCAGAGTCAATCGAACTGAGCCACTCCTTTGTGTTGACCCATTGCCTCCAAGTTGCCCAATTTTTCGCTTCAAAAAAGTTCAAATCAGAGGTGGCTCCAAACCGGACACTTTTTAGAGTGCACGTCAAATTCACTCTGGGTCTGAAATTAGGTAATTGCTATCGCTCCACGACGGCCAGTACAGAGTAACAATAAGCCTTGTGTGTGCTTCCATTAGTTTTGATTGGTATGCGGTGCTTTATTGGCGAGAAGCGAGCCGCTGTTTACCTGCGACAAGAAGTTGATTTTTCGAAAGTCGTAAAACTCAAGTCGCAGTGCGAAGCAACACGTCAAAAACTCACCTGCTTGATATGGCGCTTCTGGTCATCGCAGAGCCATGAAATTTTGGCTCGGAGTATAACACATCGTAGTCTCACTGTGACATATGTTTTCTAATCAAAATACCAAGAGAGAAAGTGAATATTGAGTCCGTTCCGGTTTGCAACCGGTGTCCTATTTGAAAACGTCCCCTCTACATGATTTAATTGTACATGTACATGTACGTTATTGTACGATATTCCAAAACTGGTAAACCAGTATTACTATTACCGGTAGAATGATAAACCTTGTTGTAGTTCACGCAATTGTTAGATTGACAGCATGAAACAAGGAGGAGGACACTGTGTTCGAAAACAGTGACCTTACTACAACCTTCCGCGGTTGGCAGAGCCCCGGTCCCTGCGGACCATTTGAACCATATGGGTATCGCACCCGGTTCTGACCCTCGTTATGCTAGGGGGTTAGGACTTAGGAGACTACTCCTGATGTCGTCTTGTTGTCTTCGCTCTTTTAATGGGCGGAAGTTGGAAAGAAAAAGAAAAGAAAAAGAAGTTTTTATACAAGTTAAAAAAGAGCGAAGACAAGACGACATCAGGAGTAGTCTCCTATTATTAGTCCTAACCAGGGAGTCGTATAGACCCGGGAGGCGACACGCGCATCACTTGTGCACAACCATGATCGACTCAACGATTCAAAATATTACGACCTGCTCGGTGTGGGACAAGTCCGTACATAGGTCATAGCGCCCGGGAAATCCGTACATAGCGTCGTCTTCGTCCTTTCGCTGAACAATTGTGGTCAGACTTTCGATCTCCATTGCCGAAATACAGCCATCTGTGGCCATCGCTGAGGAGTTCACTAATAAAGGGTCTTGTTCACTGGCTTACTCACTGGCTTTGCACTGCCACTCGAACTCTGAGGCACTTTGACCACCTAACATGAGGTAATCCTTTCTTTACAAATTGCCTCAATATTTTCTCACCTTTAGGGCAATGAAGTAATTTTTTTCCTCGTGACTAACTTCGACCGACCAAGTTGCCCTGTCCCAGTGATCTACAATACTTATATTGCACATTTGTGAAATATTGGACCTATCCAGATAAACGAAATGACTTATATTCGAAATTACATTTTCCAAAGTTTTCCTTCACAAATAGTCCCAATTTGTTCTCACCTTTAGGGCAATGAAGTAATTTTTTTCCTCGTGACTAACTTCGACAGACCAAGTTGCCCTGTCCCAGTGATCTACAATACTTATATTGCATATTTGTGAAATATTGGACCTATCCAGATAAACGAAATGACTTTTATTCGAAATTACATTTTCCAAAGTTTTCCTTCACAAATAGTCCCAATTTCTTCTCACCTTTAGGGCAATGGAGTGAATTTTTCTCAGGACTAACATCGGCTAACAAAGTGGCGCTGTCCCAGTGATCTACAATACTTATAATCATTGCACATGTGAAATATTGGGAGTCACAGAGTGAGGAAATGGCCTAAATTGAAACTTGAACTGTTCTGCCAAGTTTTATGCAGTGAACGCAGGGCTGAGAGCCCGCAAGAGCCATCCCGGATGATCTTGTGCGCCACCAACCGAACCTTCGGTGAATGTTCACAAGGTTAGAAGCTCGCACAGATAACACACATTGGATGCTAATAGTAATACAATGCACTCAGGAATGTGTGCAAATACGACAGAATTAATTCCAAATAAAGTCAACAATAGCTGCCTCAACACAGTGCTATCAACCTTCCGTATTTTCCATATTTGTACGGAAAATCACTACTTCGTCCACGCTATGGATTTTGAGAAAAATGTACGGAAAATTGAACGGGATTGATCAGTATGTATAAGCATTGCAAGTGCAAGCTGAGCGATGAAAAGAAGAGAACCGAGTGGAAAGAAAACGCTGCAGTGGAGAGTCCTTAGAAAAGACTTAAAAAATATCAATAATATCGCTGCACGAGATCATCCTTATAAGTTATAACGTCAGCTGATCGTACTGTGGTTGATTCATACGGCGGTAAATACACACCTGCCTACACACGCTCTCTAAACTGAAAAGTTATTCTGGCACAGAGCTCTCCTTCCCGCCACCACCACCATCATCAGTTCGCGTCTGGCGCCTAGTCGATGCAGGGTGAGTGGTGTCCGACATAGCAGGCTGGTACATCAGGTAGCGTATGGCGCATAGCAGATGACACAGCAACAACATAGCTTGATTGCGACGTACCTTTCGTCCCGGCTGGACTCATCAGGCAATCTTCTTCTTAGATGTCTTCACAAGGAGCTTGACTCAGGAGAATGAAGTTGAAGACTCCACTGCAACTGCACTTATGGTTGGTTCATATGGTGGTAAATATACACCTGGCAATATGGGGGTAAATACACGCCTGCCCAGACACGCTCTCTAAACTGCAAAGTTATCCTGGCACAGAGCTCTCCTTCTCACCACCACCACCACCACCATCAGTTCGCGCCTGGCGCCTAGTCGATGCATGGTTAGCGGTATCCGACATAGCAGGCTGGCACATCAGGTAACGCATGGCACATAGAAGATGGCAACGACATAGCTTGATTGCGACGTACATTTCGTTCTCTCGGTTGTGCTGTAGCCTGAAAAAGGAAATAAGACAATGCATCCACATGACACAGACAAGTAATTACTGTTACAAATAATGCATACTGCTTGATATCAGAGAAAGAAAGTCAGTGGTCACACAAGTTTTTGGTCGTCCCTGAAACGAAGATCGTTCCAGGGGGGGGGGGGGGGGGGGGGGGAGCGAGCTAAAATCTCAGTCGACTGACGCTATGCATACACATGTACATGCATGCGATTTTCGTCGTCCATTCATTTCGGAGGGTGGAGAGGAGGTCCGAGTACGAAATGAATGTTTTTTTCAGGGATGACTAATCACTTTTGCGATGACCCCTTATTGCATCAATTTATCGTCTGAACTGCGCAATTGAGTCCCACTTTATTATGTTGGGTCCAGATTTCAAGACTCGTGAAGTTCGAGGCGAAAAGCAGGCCGATGAAGGGACGCCAGTAATTCAGTCTAGTCCGGTGTCATGGAGAGGGGCCGATGAACCGGCAACAAGAGAATTCAATACGCATGCTACTCTTCAGTTCATTGCTGGGGAAGACTACTCAAGGCCACGTCACTCCGGCAATTTAATGTACAAATCAGCAGCAACACTTGCAAACGTATTCCTACCAGCTGACCAGCAAGTTACCAGCCATCAGCTCTTCAAATAATTTCAACTTAACAAAGAGAGGAGATGGACAGATCGGAAAGTATCGTGGCAAGCTCAGGGCAACACACGTCCGGCCCTATGTAACAACAGTGGAAAGTGCGTGCCATGGTATATTTTCGAAGGCATAACAAGAACCAGCTAATGTGGACTGGGCGTCCATTTGCATCGTCCGATCAGCTGCTACAAGTGCCGTGAGCCAATGGCAAACACGTTTGACAGAGACTACTACCTCTACTGAATGCAACTTTGGCATGGCAGAGATCTACAAGCACGTTATCTTATCTATCAATAGAGTTGTATCCTCGTATGACTATGTGAAGTGTGAGGTCGTACTGTACTGCAGACGCGTCTACGACCTGGTTGGAAATGTACGCAACAGTTCCCACCCTCTTGACCAGAGATCGCACACACCCTAGGGTTTTGATGGGTTTTTACGACTCCCAGCTCTTGACTTTTGTTGGGTGTACGAGACGCACGCACAGTTTTCTTAGGGTGAGTACTTTTCATGTAGTACTGAATGCGGCAAGCAGGACTCGCCCATCCGCCCCTCCCCAAATGGATCTACTCGAATGGTTCCGGAGGTAGGGATGCTCTGGCGGGATTTTACGACATACACAAGCGCGCACACACGCACACAATATACACATGCACGCACACACATACACACGAACGCACGCTATGTCGCACGTCTTGGGCATGGCTTCGTGAATACAAATAATAATTTAATGTTATAATTTATAGGATCCAAATGTTAGAGCAGTTTTACAAAACCTACCGTTCAATACCGGATCATCTTGTGACAGCTTCCTTGCAACACCCATGACTTGACCCCACTTCGTCTTGACGTCGGGAAATCGTTCACACCGGAGTTGGGACACGACTCATTGAAATCCAGGCCTATCTGCAGCTGGGAGCAGGACAGAGCTGATGGACGTCAGCAGCGGCTGTAGAACAACCATAAACGAGTCTTCTTTCTCCGCAGTCAGGCGGGACAGCAGCTTTGCAACGCAAGCTTCTTGCCTTCTGTGGGTCTTTAGCGGCTGGGATTCGGAACGCTCTGTAGAAACCATTGAACAAGTACTGCACTCTATCAACCCACAAGTATTTCTTCCAATTCATGATTATTCGCAACTTTTTATGCAGTACGTGCACCAGATCAGAAGCCGCTAAGTAGCAAGGTTGAAAGTTTCAAGACAAATTGAAAAATATAATAACATAGAAAATTAGAATTCAAACCATACCTGTGGCCCAAGCCAATCATGACAGACTGAGCGTTCACGCGAAGAGAACGTAGATCTACGTCAGCTGAGGTTTCCTTAGGATCAGGAGGTGATTCTTGACCCGGATCTGGATCGCGATCAGCAGCACTCTCTGCCTCAATCACGATCATCAAATGCAACTAATTACTTGGAAAAGTAGTTCATTCTTCTTCTTCTTTTCGAGCTACGATTTCCCACGATCCTATCGATCCTGCACGAGTCCGTTCCTCAGGCCAAGGAGTGCACTCCCAAAGTCCCATGGCATAAGTACGCGGAGTAGTTGGTTTATAACTCAGGGCACGCACCGGGGATATCTGAGGGAAAAGTGGGAGAAAGTGCCGCGAGTCAATCATAGTCGGCCCGGAAGGCCTCGTGTCGCCTCCCGGGTCTATACGACTCCCTGGTCCTAACCCCCTAGCGGGTCAGAACCGGGTGCGATACCCATATGGTTCAAATGGTCCGCAGGGACTGGGCCGGGGCTCTGCCAACCGCGGAAGGTTGTAGTAAGGTCACTGTTTTCGAAAACAGTGTCCTCCTCCTTGTTTCATGCTGTCAAGCTAACAATTATGTACATGTACATACCGGTAATAATACATTGTAAGTCATCGACATTGTACAGTACATGTGGCGTGCGAGCATACACTGCTGTACAGTACAACTAATACTTCAAGTGTTGAGTACTGTATTTTATTCATGAAAACACGCACCTGGCGGCAAATATTACTAGTACACCATGGATACACGCCGGACAGTAATTATACAACAGGAAGAAAGGAGATAAATGGCTGTAAATACAGTCTAATGTCGAGCCAGACGCGCCTCAGCCTGCCTGGACAAGGTCGACAGGCGCGAGGTCGAAGTGACGACGGCGAACAGAGTGTGATCCACGGACACAACGGATGGCGGATATGGCAAGAGAAAACGCCAAGCAGCACCGCAGCCAAGCTACAACCCGGCTATGGCAGCGTTGCGTTTGGTGGCCAAGCCATGCGCCAGCCTCTTGACTACTAGTACTACGGCTGCTTCAGAGCCCATCCCACCACAGGAGGAGAAGACTAACGGTGTGAAGGAGCCATGCTCGACTTCATTGACACGTTCACCGTAAGCACGCTTCTTCTCTCCTTCGAACTTTCGGTAGAGGGAGGGGAGAGACTTGGATCGATAACTAATACTTGACGCATGGGGATAAAACACCCTCGTATCGAAGAATACGGTTGCGGCTATCGGTCCAGAATCCCTTCACCCGCGGGTCGGCACGGGCATCAGGATCAGTGTTGGCTGACCGATGGTGATAGGTTTCACCAGTTAGGGGCTGCAATGGTGGCTCCACCTCCACATCATGATGGAGCTCCTTCATGCGCGACGCGTAGATCTACTGCCTGTGCAATCATATTAGCATTGTAGGTCTACTTAAAAAGTCTTTGAAGGGTCGACTAGTCTAGAGCCTAGTACTAGTAGTACTGTAGAAGATCTACTACATAATTATGTCATTGTAGTAGAGGCTGCATCATGTAGAACTAGCCTTGGGCCTGGCGGATAACAAGTAGAAAATGTCATGTACATGTACTTGTAGTTTACAGTGCTAGTGCCAGTACTGGCAGTAGTGGTTTATACATAGATAATCTGACAATGGCGGCAGAAAAATGTACCTTTCTGGTATGTTTCATGTTTGGTACATGTAATAATTGTTACATGTCATCAAGAGTACATAGTGTACATGTACTCTTGATGTCATGACTCATGTTACGCAGGAATACCGGCACTTCCCATGGTAAGCTTCCAGCATCCAAATGATCATCAGCAATGATGGTTTCACCCCTCACTACATGGATAAGCAAGGGAAAAGATTTGATACACCCACTATTCAGCCACGGCCCTGCATTAGTTGCAATGGAGAGCAGCCAATGGAGACGCGATCATGTTTTGTAGTGCTAAGAAGTGGTGGAGCTCGTGAGAAATATAGTACTAGCAGCTTCAGAGGCAGATCGACTAAATGCGTCCTTTCCTGGAAGTTTGACAATGAGCAGCCTTTCTTCCATTTTTGTTCCAAACCAAGAGCATTATAGCCCTTGTTGAAGCATTATAATCAGCATTACAAGGTAGTTTTTGGAGCAATATATGATTAGCTTATACGAACATTTTCGGAGCATTACCCGCTGGACCCTACAGCATGGATCGCTACTGCTAGTACTAGTAGTAGACTACTACTAGAGCAGTAGAGGCTAGCCTTTTCACGCCTTGGCTGTGGCCTTGTACTTTGTAGCCCGCGTAAAAACTATCTCATTTCCGGTGTCTAGCGTCTACTACTACTACTACTACTAGACTACGGTCTAGCGCGGCTGTGTGTGTACCAGATGTACCGCTTGTATGTGTGTAACAGACAAGCCTACAACTGCGTTTACTTATCTCTGGCGATGGTGCCATCGTGAGAATAAATAATTCAAAAACTATAGTACAGCGACCACCGTTGTGTGTGAACATGAACAGGCTATGCCCCCATGATTACTAGTCCGACTCATCCGACACAGACAGTCGGTCGATTTCTTGTCGGAGTCGGTGTGGGAGCATCGGCCGAAAAATCGGCCTACACGTTGTAGAGGCTAGTGACTAGTACAGTGTGAACAGGCATGGTGAACCGGGCAGTAGTCTCTGTAGATCTACACGGATCACACGCTTCATCAAGACAAGACCGTAGCTACTGACACTGTGTTGTAGACGGTGTAGTACACCGTCTACAAGTAACTACGGTTTTGTGTTGATGAAGCGTGTGATCATGGTGATCACCAGCAGCAAATAAGTATGGAATCGAGCATGAGTACGAGGACGAAAGTGCGGAATCGGAGCCCGACGCGCGCTAGCGCGGAGGGCTCCGATTCTAGCACTTGAGTCCGAGTACGAATGCTTTGATACCATTTCTGACATGCATTGCACGAACTACTTCGTACTACTAGTACTACTACATGTAGTACTTCACACATACCTAGTACCTACTCAAGGCACGCACACTAGACCAGACAAGGAACACAACTAGTCGCCAGTTTAGTACTTCAGACATGTTACATAATGACTAATGTACACAGTCACAACACAGAGATAAAACAAGGGCGGTCTAGTCAGCTAAAAACCAGGTCAGTTCAGCTTCTCTTCTTCGCAGTGACTACAGCCTACAGCCTACAGGTGCAGGTGAACATTGCAGTTTGCACCAAACTGAGCTCCGGAAAAGTTGATGGTCTTCGTAGCTTTCTGCATCAGAGACCGTTGGTGAGTTGGGGATTGCACTGTTGGGTCACAAGTTGCGATGTACTCATCAATGTCGGGATCGTGGAACTCAGTCTGCTGCTGTGATCGCTGAACGCTCGTTGTTGGCGCTGTAAGAGCACGGGTAGCAGCATTGGTTGCAGTTGGAGACTCTCCATCCAGAACTGCAGCCATCTCTTTTCTCTTTTGTTCTGAATTCCTGTTGGCATATGCGGTCAACGACTGGACCTGGCGATGTCCCGTCGTCCCCATGATCGCTGTCTCAAAAAAAAAAGCGGCCTCTGATGGCTGAATCGGAGCACGCCTAGGCGTGCTCCGATTCAATCGGAGCACGCCTGGGCGTGCTCCGATTGGAAAATCGGAGACCTGCAAGCGCTCACAGGTCTTCAGTGGCTGATTCAAAGCACGGCAAGTCGCGCTAGGATTCGCTGTTGCCATGTCGATTGTCATGTGACATGTCAGAATTGTGTTTTGTTACTATACCCGTAAAAGAGGCTTTTGATAGCAGGCATGCCGGCAGCAGCAGAGGGCTAGGGAGTCGTAAAAATTAATACCGTATTTTACGACTCCTTGGTGATTGATCACTTGCAAAAGGCCATGAAGTGCCCGACATTGGTAGTCGACTAGTCACAGTAGTTGTGCGGAGAGAAGATGCCGGATGTTGTCGTTCTGGACACAGCGAACAGTCGAGTTACTACAATTTGTAGTTTAGGACGTCCTCCTGCAATAGCGGTTTGTTTGTTCCAATCTTCAGTACCCTACCGCAGACATGCCCGGCTAGAACTAACTAAAAAACTAATAATACTACATGACTGTATTTATTATTACTCGGTTATGTCTCTGAAGACAAGTTGTGCTCGAAGATTGTTTTGTGGAGAGTGCGGGGTACGACATGACCTCTTAGCCGATTCGAGACTCAACTTCGTTAGAACACTTTGTCATGTTTCATGTACAACCGCATTTCTAGTTGTGGGAATGTGCGAGCCTGATTTAGCTTCTGTTTTGGAGTGCGTCCTCGAGTTAGTTGTCTCCGAACAAGAGCAACTACTCACCATGAGAGAAGGACAAGGTAACGCTTTGTGTGCGGCGTGCTCTATGCATCGTGCATGCTGTGCGACTGCTACTGTTGCTGCTGCTACTGCTGTTGCTCGAGCAAGCAGATGACCACATGAATCGTCGAACGCCAAGGGCATGGTGGAATATGGGAAGGATGTTCTCGTGCGTGTGTGTTGCCACTCCTAAATTAAATGGCCTTCTGAACGTTATTGATTGCTTGGCAATAACGCGACGGATATGCGGACTTCACCTTCAGCACGCACTCCATTCCGCTAGGACTGGCAGGGTTCGCAAGGGTACGGTCTTATAGCCGAAAGCTACTTGTAAGATGTACTGTCCTCCATAAGTTGTCAGTTTGGCTAGGCGGTGGTGGTGGTGGTAACTAGATACTGAGGAAGGAGGGCAGACGGTCAGATCCTATCAGTCCTGATTGTTGAGGAGCGTGAACTGGAGAAGGGTGAAAAGAACAGCAAGCATGCTAGGACTTGCACGACTTACCCGCTGTCCCCCACCCTGTGCCTGGTTGTTCAGCCTGGTGTTGATATGGACAGAGGTGCACTGGCAACACCATGCCGTTGCTCTTGGTGGTTTGCTATGCGGCGGCGGTGCCAGCAGCAGCAGCAGCAGTGGGTCTGGAGAAGCATCACAGCAGCAAGCAGTTCCGGTGTCACCTGTCACTGCTCTGTGCCTTGTCAGCATGGGACTACCGGAAGAGCTAGAGGTCAGTATAAGGTGGACAAATGTTAGTAAACCTAGACACACACACACATGCACAGTTGTCTACATTGACACAGGTGCAGCAAGCACTGGGCTGCTCAATGAATCAGGCTGATCAGGCTCATGAATAGGTTACTTCCGGGAGGCCAGGACCGGCGGAAGCAGGTTTTGATTGGTCTAGCCATACCCTTGCCGTTCAAACTTTGTGTAGGATATGGCGGGCATACACATTGACACATTGACCTCCTCAGCAGTAAACACACGCCGGTGGCCAACAACTTTGGGCCGGCCATGGCCTGACCAACCGGACTGGTTCCGCCGGGCCTGCCCCCCTCCGCTCTGCATCCGTGTGGAGCCAAGTGTCCGCAAATTTGCGGCTGCACAGCCCCTGGCGCTTTAACCGTTGAATGTTTCAACTTCATTGAGCAGCACCGGCAAACGATCCATGTGACAGTGAAAGTCAATTCGCCAAATTCACTATTTGTATTCTTGAATACAAGAATCACTGAAACCTGCGGCGCAGCCAGTTTTCAGTTGACAAGGCTGCATGTAGCACATGACGTGCATATTGCAAAATGTGTCTTGTGATCCTCTGCTTGTTATTACTATATCACAATAATCTTATCTTCTTTATCAATGCCGGTAAGTGAGGAGAGGTACTATGACTGTGCTCTTTTTGGTAGCTACAATCATGTTGCTCTAGGCTCTGGCAGTCGGGAGTGACAAGAATATGGAGCACATCCTTGAAAACGTACCAGACAGAAGCTAGGAATGTACTCAATGCACACGCACACGCACACACACGCACACACACACACACACACACACACACACACACACACACACACACACACACACACACACACACACAAACACACACGCACACGCACGCGTGCAATACACTAAATTACAATTGCCCATCCGGAGATGATAGCAGGTCCCAAAGGGACCAACTGAGTGTTCAAGTCACGAGCAAAATCGGGCCGCCGAGTCAAGTCCTGGCGGCGTTGATAACTCTTTCCACAACTGCAAACAAAGTCTAAGGTGACAGGCTCGGTCGGAGGAATGGTGCTGCATGCTGTTCTCCACTCTCTGCCATCCTGGGCGAGGTCGTACCACTCCACTATCTGGCTGTCCTTCGTGTCGGACACAACATTGTCCCACTACCGCTTCCGGGGCCCATGATATGGCCGAGCCTTTTCCAGTTCGCCGAAGAGGACACCCCCCCCCCCCCCCACACACACACATACGCAAAATGCACATTAATGCTATACCCATGCAAAGTCACCAACATGCTTCTGTGCGTGTATGTATTCCCCTATGATCTCAACAGGGTGCAGTTACTGCTGATTTACTACGTGGGCTCTCACCCGATGCGTGTGCGTCGCACACGCAGTCTGACATCAGCCTGGCTACAGGTACATGTTTATAATATATCCAGGGTTTATGATTATATTGTTATAATATATCCAGGGTTTATGATTATATTGTTATAATATATCCAGGGTTTATGATTATATTGTTATAATATATCCAGGGTTTATGATTATATTGTCATGTGCACATGTACTGCAATACAAGTGTAACGCACTGCATGCATTATATACACTGCATGCACTGTCCAGTGCCGGCGTATATAATGATATACACTGCATGCATTATATACACTGGATCAGCACACAAAGCCCCGGTGTATTTCACTTTTGCTAAGTGAGTCCTGACATACATGTGTGTCCACGTGTATCCGTGTGTGCATGGAACTGCCGACTAACAACAGCATCATGTGCATGCATATGCCTACTAGACATGTCTCCTATTGTTCTGTGCTCTGGCTTTAGAATATGAGGTTTGCACAGACAGAAGAACGAGCAGTTGCGGTTTCGTAACTCTGAGTTTCACGAACTGAATCGATCATCAGACGAAAATTGAATATGAGGTTTATAATCTTGGCACTTGTCTCTGCACTTCGTACACTGTCTCTGTATTTCATAGATGATGAGTTTGATGCAGCGTTGATGACCGCGCAGGTGTATGTGCAGTGGGATGGTGACTCGGGATGCATGTCAGTCATATGGACGCTACCTGCCCTAAACTCGTCATCCGAGCAGCTTTACCTCATCCAGATCAGTGAAAACCTGCGGTCTGGCGCAGAGCAATTCCTCACCGGCAGCAGCTATGCTACACTGGGTAACTCTCTCACTCTCCACAATATCAGCCGGTCCACACTGAGTTCGAGCAATATATCTCTAGCTGTGATAGATGTGAATGGTACGATCCTACCGCTGTCGCGCACAGTGTACACGCTGCTGCCTGGTCAGCCCAGGCATGCCAGAACAAGCAGTCAGTACTATGACTTCCAGCGGGCCATGGCATTGCGCAATCTCACCTGGAACAGACCCGAAGATGGTAGCACGGCAGCAGAGCAGCATTACGACATCCATTTCAGCGGGTCCAAAGAGCTCGGCACGTTCCATCCCTGTCCGGACTGGAGTGTGAATGATCACACAGGCACCATACTGTTCATGCAGATGTTAACGCAGCTGCGCTATGGGTGTCTGTATGTGGCGACAATCACTCCCGCACTACCGGCGCAGATCAGAGCCGATCTTGCCGAGCGTGACGATGTGTCCATCGCTCTACAGCACTCGTTTCCGATAGACCACGGCGCTGCCAACGTCTCCGATTTTGATTTCGTCAATGGAACCACTCAGTTTGCCACTTGTGACTCGGCCCTGAATGCTCATTTCTCGTTGGATGCCAGTTTCACCTACAATGGCTCGGCTTTAGCGTTTGTGTTTGCCCTGGATGGTTTCAACGCGTCACAGCTTCTTGTCCCGCCTGGAGACTTTCTTGCTTCCCTGGACTTCTTCTCTGTCATAGTTACTGATGTGTCGGTGGGGCCGTTCGGTAGCCGGGTGTTCTCGCAGGACTTGATCAATCCTTACCAGTTTGTAAGTGCTGTAGGATGATGCATATCCGTAGTAGCGTGATCAATAGAACTGACTTGTGGATTACATGGCCAGTGGTACTTAAAACATCCCATCACCTGGTACTCAACATAACATCACCTAGTACTTATCATATCATCAACCAGTACTTACCGACACTTTCCCAGTACACTTTACTGTACTGTAGTCTGTAGGGGTCAACTCTTGCAGCATGATGGCACCTGTCGTGACACAGGTGACCCAGATGAAGGAGCATATCAGGGAGGATTTTGATGTTCACAAATCGAGAACTAATTACTTGCCGGTTGTAAACTTCTTGACGAGCAGATAAGTGTGTTTTGCTATTCTCTTTGCAGAATCATCAGCCTTTTCAAGCCATTGTATCCGACCCGCAGCATCTTCACAACTATCGAGCTGAGGTTAGTGCATATGATGTCATACCAGCGACCAGTTCACAGAGTACTGTAGGGGGACTCAGAGCATGCATGGTAGATTCTAGTCCGAGTATAGGTACTAGCGTTCTGGCATGTCACTGCCGGTATGGTATGATCAGACACATCTCTGATCTTATTCATCTCAACTGGCACAATCTATCAAATCTGTTGGTAAGCATGTATGCAAGTAGAAAAAATGTCACCGTTACAGCGGTGCACGCAGGAAGCCTGAAACTCCTCTTCTGATGCCATTTCGTCAGTATCTTCATCAATGATACAATCAATCTCGAGCGCAGTGATATGAATCAAAACGGGACCGGCTTTGCACTGAAGTATGTTGAGGAGCGGCATGAGGATTAGAAAATGCAGTATTTTATATCCCCCCCCCCATATAATTGTGCTCGATTCCGTATACGTATTGCTAAAGTACATCTGTGCATGCGAGGGTGCATGGTTAGCAACATGGTCAGAGCATCAAGCTTCCAAACATGAAGGTGTGGGACTGATTGCCTGTTTATGTGAAGAAGACGTACATGTACACACCCAGGTCCAATGCCAAGTACTAGTTCCTAAGCCGGCCAGTTGGAGAGGCAAAGGCAATGCCCGGAGTAGAGGAGATGATCACCATCCTCACTAAGTTATGTTGAACTCGGGGACACAAGACATGTCTAACATAATACCTGCTACCACCACGGTCAGAATTCACTGCATATGGGGGCCACCTTCACCCGGGCGCTGTTATGCTATGTACAAGAAGGCGGCTACATCTACTTGTAATTGCTGTGTGGAAGGGTCCAGGGGGGAGAAGGTAACATACGTGTGTGCTCTTCTTCCTCTTACAAATCTGTTCCCGGTCCTCCCTCCTGCCCCATATTACTCAAACAGGCCAGGTATGCAGTCTACCTGGCAGAAGACATACCTCTGTACAACGCAGCGCTACTCACGGCCACTGATAGCCGTGTCAATGTGCGGATTCAGTCCTTGTCGTGCGGGACGAACTTTAGACTGACGGTGAATCAGCCCACTACTGCTCTCACTGCTGGTAAGTAATTGATCACATGGCATGCACAGGCAACACCGGCCAGGTGTCATACTGCCTTGCATGCTATATTCAAAGTCAATGATGTCTTCTGCTGGATCCGAGACTGTTGCTGTTCACAGCATGAGCTCTTTACGAAACCAGGCAACAACATTAAAGTTGTGGAATAGTTTTTAAATTAGGCCCCATGCTGCGAGCAACGCCGGTGAACATCCTAGTACAGTCTGTATCGGCTATAGAGTGACCGGATATAAGAATATATCGGCTACAGTGATATTGGTACGAAATATCAAAAGCAAAACGAATTTTATCCTATAAAAATATCACTATAACCAATATTATCGGATGTAATGATATATCGGATATTATGATGGCAACAAAGAATCAAAAACATGCATAACACACTATAATTATATTATCGGCTATTGTGATAACTTTAAAATACATGTAGCAATAACATCAAAGGCCCTATTTTTTTACTTTCTTCACGTTGCTTATTTTTATAGTGATACATGTACATAACAGGATTTTGTTATGGAAATGCGGGCACTGTCAACTATGCAGCATGCTCATTTGTCAAAACGCCATGCTGGAAGTATTTCCTTGCCTTTCATGTGTCGATCCAAAAAGAAAAAATCGATCGTATCGCATATAGTGATGCATCGGTTATAGTGATAAAATCACGGAAATCAAAAGGGTACGCTATAGCCGATACAGACTGTACCAGGGTGGAGGTGATTGCACACATGACTCACGACTCACTGATGTAAGGCGCACGCGCACACGTGTGTGTGTGTGTGTGTGTGTGTGTGTGTGTGTGTGTGTGTGTGTGTGTGTGTGTGTATGTGTACCTCCCTGTGTGCCCACTTAGGCTCAACTACAGCTACCAGTGGCTCAGCCGTTAGTAATGTTACCAGTCACATGCCGCCGGCAGCAATGGTGCAGACTACTCCACCAAGCACAGCTGCAGTCACCACTATCACCTTCATGACAGTAGAGCGGGCTATAGAGAAGGATGCGCTGGACCAATCGTCACCCACTGTTGCTATAGCAGCCGGAGTAGCCGGGGTGATAGTCATCTTGATGATTGGGATGATGGTGGGATATATTCTCGTACGCAATCGCAATCACGGTCGAACAAAGTCCAAACCTCTTCGACCGCTGAGAAGCTCCGTTGAGTCCACAATCACTATAATGACCCAGATTGAGGCCAATGCTTGCATGTCGGACTCCTGTGATGACTATGAGCTTGAGCCAGGCAGACTTCAAATGCTCGATGTTGTGGGCTCCGGAGCGTTTGGCATAGTGCGCAAAGCTCACCTCTACCAGAGCTGTGACTGGGACCAGGACAAGAGCCGGCTTGTTGCCGCCAAGATGCTACGTGGTTAGTAATGATGATGGCATCATTAATTGCTGTACGATGACGGCGCATAGTGGTGATGCGTGCAGCAGGCAGGCACTGGTTTATCATCATGATGTGCAGTCATTTCACACAACATGAGTGGCAGATCAATAATTGAACAAGTAAGCAACTAGACTGACCATGTACACCGAAGAACACACAGCAGCACTGTAGGGTGAACCCGACCTTGCCTGGTGTTCCTTATTCAGTGGTACATATCCTTACCATTCAAACGCTATACTGCAATGTTCGTATTTGGAAGAATCTCGGCCTGGCTGGTCGTTGGCATCCCATTCTTTGGTATGTGACGTCACTGTGGCCCGTGGTCGAATCGAAGGCAGCTCCAGAGAGCACGCACACACAGTTAGGGTCTAACACCCCCACCCCACCCCATCCAACATTGTGGATTGCACCCAGTGCTACGTAGCCGCGAAACCAAAATACACCCTATTTTGTTCTCGGTCTGTTTTTTTTTAGCGCTGTCCCTTGTGCTGAGGATTGAATCAGATGTCTTTGGTCGTAACTGCACATGCTGTGCTGCATGTGTATGTACTTCAAAGTAACTATGCAACTATGTATGTGTGTGTGTGTGTGTGTGTGTGTGTGTGTGTGTGTGTGCGTGTGTGTGTGTGTGTGTGTGTGTGTGTGTGTATTTGTGTGCGTGCTGAATATTTCTGCTTTAAACCCTGATAGAAAATGGCATTGAGT